TGGCATGGGCTCCCCCCGCCCCGCTCTCACCCTCTGCGCCTTTCTGCCCACCCGAGGCCCAGTGCAGGTCGCTGATGGACTCCACGGGGCGCAGGCTGATGGCTCCAGGCTCGCTGTCATCGGGGTCCCCAGGCTGTGCCGGTGTGGCACCCTCGGCCCTTCCCATGCTGTCTGCTGGGAGCGGAGGCAGAGGGGGAGTGTGGGCCCTGCCTGCCCCAGGCACCCCTGCAGGGACCAGACCCCTCCCAGAGGTGACCCCAGCTTTGACACCAGCCCAGTGCTGTGCCAGAGTGGTCAGCCAAGGCTGGTGTTCCCTTGGCACAGCCCTGCAGCCACAGGCAGGCAAGAACTGGCGGTGCTCCCCCCCCATCCCTGGCCCCAGTCCTGTCATCAGAGCTGTTAGCGGGCACCCAGTGGCCATGATCCCAGAGCCTCATTAGTGGGGCTGGAATGTGCCAACCCTCTGACCCAGGTAGCCCGGGCATGCTGGGGCTCCTCCGGGCCAGCTGGGAGCCGGTGGGCAGGGCAGTGCCAGCTTGAGCCCATGGCACAGCTTGGCTTTCCCTATGGGCACCTTGCTCGTGTGCCACTTAGGGGTGTGCGGACAGAGGTGTGGGGTGCATGCTGTGGCAGGGGGTCCCGGTGCCAACTGCCCAGGTGGGCACATCCCCCATAGGAGCAAGGGGGCCTTTTGGGAGCAGGCATGGCTCCAGCACTGTCTTGGGAAGCAACCCTGCCTACTCTGGGGCAGAGGGAAAGGATTTTTTTTCTGGGCGTTTGCGCATTTCTGAGCAGCAGGCAGGGCGCGGGCACTGTGCCCACGGTGGAGCAGGGCAGGGTGGCCCCATGCCCACTCCCAGTCCCTCCCGGGGCCAGTGGCATGTCACAGGGCAGTGTGGTGCTGTGCCACTGCCATCAGGGTGGTGCATGCTGCCGGTGGGGTTCACACACGTCAGGGCTGGGGAGCCTTGGCTGGTGCCCAGAGTTCTCCCCCGAGACCCTCTCCAGGGCCCTGCCCTTGGCTGGAGGCTGGCCTGTAGGTACCCCCATCCGCTCCCCCCTGGATTTGCTCCCCCCTGGCTGGGGGGCACAGCCAGGCATGTAGGGTTTGGGCC